GACTTCATTTCAGACTCTACTGTGCGTCTCCACGTCACTTTGGGTCTGCCCCTTTTGCGACGTCCTTCGGGTGTCCAGTGGAGGGCAGTCTTCACGACAATATACGACAATACAAACATTATTGTTGAAGACATCTTTTTGCTTCTCCTACTCTGGAGAGCCAAACACACTTGTGCGTTGTTCAAAACAAAACTCCTGTACACACTTGTAAAAATCTGGACACTTGCTCATTTTACCTCTATGCTGGAACATCGGGCACGGCTCTTGGCATTCGTGTGTAGTGTGTCGTCAAATGTGCTTGACACGTGCGTGTCTTGTGCCCCAGCATTAAGGGTGCTCTGCGTCATGTACAGTAGTGTAGCCCCAAGCATACATACGTAGCAGTGCAGAATTCTCTGGCTGTATCATGTTCCGTGTTTCAGGGACTGGATATGTCACGGGTCTAATCGAACTGAAAACAGTAAAACAGTAGAAGTGGGTGGTTGGCGGGTGCTCTGGTGTGTTTTGCTTCTTCTTTCCTATCAAACATTTGTCGTTCTTATCTCCCCTCCTTCTTTTTTATGTTTGTTGCTCTCTTGTAGCACCTCTAATCATCTTCTAGCGCTCATGTGACCTTATGCTGTTGCGAGCGCCGTAAAACCTCTACTAAAACTGACTAAAAACTCTTGGATTGTACAAAGAAAGAATTTGTTCACCTCTGTTTTCCTCTCTCTGAGAGGAGGTCAGGTATACCCCTCCAGAAAGCCCACTCAGAGCCATGCTATACAGAACAGAACTGTACTACTTATATTTATATATATATATATATATTCTTGTGCTTAAGACGGACAATCTCTACTACTGTATTTTTGTTCTTTTTATATATATATATATAAATAGATTGGATATCTGTTTTTTGACTGCTTAGCGTAAGACTCGCTGGTACGTTACTTTTCACACAACGTAATGGCAGCGTTTTATTCAGAGCAGTCAATTTGTGTGTACACTCACAGTTGTCCAAGATGGCCGCCTACTTTGACGGAAAAGAGTTGACAGGTGTCTGTGGTTTGACTGTACTTATGTTTTTTGTATCTGTGTACGTGTGTACATTTTTTACTGGTGAGTGGTTGGTGGGTGCCCTGGTCTGGTTTGCTTCTTATTTCCTAGCAAACGTCTGTCTTCTGTATCTCCCCTTCTTCTATTTTGTGTTTGTTACTCTCTTGTAACACCTCTATTCTTCGTCACTTATATGACCTTATTGTGTTGCAAGTGCAGTAAAACTCTTAATAAAACTACACTAACACTGGAAGGGGGTGGGGAGGGAGGGAAATGTCGTTGGTTCCTGTAAGAGAAGTGGGCGGGGGTGGGGGGGTGGGGGGGGGGGGTGGCGCTGAACCAATGTAATATTACAGTCTTTTTCGGTCCTGAGGTGTTGACTTTATCAAAATTCCGCTCTAATTTGTTGGGTTTTTTTCTTAAATTAAGGCGCTTTTGACATTGACATGAGTCTCCATTTTTCCCATATTAAGAAGAATGAGTGTATGCAATGCTTTGCTTGAATGATTTACTCGGTTATTTTTTTTTGGGTGAATGTAGAACTGCATATATTATTATGTGTGTGAATGCATGTTATTCATGAATATTATGAAGAGCGCGTAGAACAGTGATTGTAACATGGATTTGAGCTGCGCTGTTTAAATGTCATATTATTATTATTATTATTATTATTATAATTATTATTATTATTATTATAAGTGAACAATGTAATATTACGAGATGGGAAAGGCAAATGTAAGAAAAGTGTAGGGGGCGAGCAAAAAGTCCCAAAATACTGCCGTGCTAAGGCAGACCGACGTATCTGCAAAATTATTAATTTTTTTCATCTTCGTTTAAATTCTGCATCTTGTGTCAAAGGCAGGATGACGTACCTGCACTACAAATAGGATATTTCACTGTGGCAAACAGACGTAACTGAAGGGCCATGCCCATATTTCCAATGGCAGCGCGACGTAACTCAAAATCATGAAAAGTGCAGATACGTCGCTCTGCCTTGGAACGGCAGAATAGGTGTAAGATTATATTTGAACAGAGAATAGGTGTAAGATTATATTTGAACAGAGAATAGGTGTAAGATTATATATATTAGAACAGAGAATAGATGTAAGATTATATATATTAGAACAGAGAATAGGTGTAAGATTATATATATTAGAACAGAGAATAGGTGTAAGATTATATATATTAGAACAGAGAATAGGTGTAAGATTATATATATTAGAACAGAGAATAGGTGTAAGATTATATATATTAGAACAGAGAATAGGTGTAAGATTATATATATTAGAACAGAGAATAGGTGTAAGATTATATATATTAGAGCAGAGAATAGGTGTAAGATTATATTTGAACAGAGAATAGGTGTAAGATTATATTTGAACAGATGAACAGAGAGTAGATGTAAGATTATATTAGAACAGCCCCATAGTTGAGCTCCCGTGTGGAGGGTACGGTCATGGAGGTTCTCCGTCTCTTTCTCCCCGACTGCCAGGATGTTTTATTTCCCTCTGAGCCGGGGCAGGCTGGTTCTGACACCGGTGTTGATGGCTTCACAAACTGGGGCGTTGTTGCACCTCCCACTGACGCTACGCCAGTTGTTCTTTTGAATGACGACACCCCCCCCTTGCCCCTCTTCCCCCCCCCCCTCCCCTCCCTCCCTGCTGCCCCACCTGTGCTTTCTCCGACTGTTCAGCGTCTGTCCCCGCGGTTTTAAGCAAAGAAAGTTAAGAAATTATGCAAACTGAGCCAAAAAATGTGAAATTATACGATTCTGTTGGTTTTAAGAAAGAATGACAAAGGAAAATAATAAGAAATTATGCAAAAAAATGATCAAATTTTGCTAAATTATGCGGGGTGCATAAAACCCCGGGGGCACGTTTGTTGATATAAGACAAGAGTATTCAATCGTTTTCATTCTGCAAAAAAGATGCCAAAGATGCAAATAGCGCTGCAGCATTCTTGTACTCCTATCTCTGACGATGTTTGCTTGTTTGGTGGTTTGAATGTGTCGTACGATTGATTGTGTTGGTGGGCGGTTGGAGGGTGCCACTAGTAGGCCGTACTACTTTTCTTTTCCTTCGTTGTTTCTGTCTGTCTATCTCACTCTCTCCTCGCTCTCTACTACATGACCATTGGCTTGTCGATGTACTTCTCTTTACACTACCAAACAAGCAATGAAACTTTGATTGTCCTTTGATACTGTGAACTTGTTGGTATGTGTGTGTGACTTGTCTGAAATAGCTGCCTTATGCAGTTGCGAGTGCCGTAATACTTTACTAAAAACTAAACTGATATAGCTGCAGAGTTGCCCTACGGAGCACAGAATACCCTCTCCCCCCTCTCCACACTCACCGGTAATGGTAACAGAGGATGAAAAAGTC